TTTAAATGTCATTAACTCCTTGGCCGATATTTTTTCTTCTTTTCTCTTTTCTTTTTCCTTCGTTCAAGCATAATTATTAATTTCGAGCGAGTTTTCGTTACTTTTTATTTTCTTCCGTAATTTTCTTCTTCTTCTTTTTTTTTTATCATGGAACTTTCTCTTGTACTCTTACATATTCTAATAGTTTTAATACCTAACGTTTGATAACGTAAATACTATAAAAATATCATGTAATCGAATTAATTCGAATTTATAAAAATTAAGTAAAAGGAAAACAAGAACAATAAAAATTTTAGAATAATTTGTAAAAGTTTAGGTCGATTTCCGTTGTAACTAGCGTCTAGACCGGATGTCCAGGAAGAACGAAGATTGAACGAAGATCCAATAATGTGTGTGACCTTTCTGGTTACCATGTGCGTTAACGTTACATCCAAGTTTCTTCTCACGGTGCATTGGGAAGAAATTATAAGGAAATTATAAGGGAATGAGTTAAACCTTGGATTACCGTAGTAGTAGTAGGGGTGAGAGAAAGAGAGAAAGAGAAAAAAAAATAAAAAAGAGTGAATGAGGGTTAAAGGAGGAGGATGAAGAGGTGGAGGAGTTGGAGGAGATAGAAAAGGTTAGAAGAAGATGAAAATATACCGAAGGAAAGGAGATGATGATCGAAGGGTAGCGCGTAAAGCAACGTTCCTCTTAGCTTGTGGGCAAATCATACTTAATTGATATCACAAAGAAACCTCCTCCTCTCTCTCTCTCTCTCTCTCTTTCTTTCTTCACGAGGCCCTCCTAGCCCCCCACTTCATCTCTTCGGCACCTCTAACCGGACCCTAACTTCATAATCGCCATCTCCACCGCAGGATTAAGCGTTACGGTGGATTCATGTTGCACGTAAATTACGTTCGCGATCCACGAGAAACTCAAAGACCCTCTCTCTCTCTCACTCTCTCACTCTCTTTCTTTCTTTCTTTCTTTCTTCCCATAACGTCTTCTAGCAATCTTTGTGATCACGATCGATCAACGGGTATTCTCAACTGATGAAGAAGTGCCACGTACTGTAGAAAAATATTAGTATATGTTTAGAATTGTACTAGAATTTATTTAATCGTTGCTTATTAACATGAACCACCACCACCGCCACCATCTATTTATACTGGATTCTAGTATGATCTAGAAAATATAATATTTTACACCAATGTGTAATAATATTTGAAGATACACGTCAGTGTACTTCTATTTGTACAACTATTTGACAATAGTTATACAAAATATTGGTATATGATTTTCTGTATTTTCTTTTTTTTTCTTTGCGTTGCAATAGAATTTATGTATCTCTTTCTTATCTATTTATCCGACCAATAACAATATATTCAACACGAATGGTTTATCATTTAGAATTAGAATATCGTACAGAAACGTGTTATAATATTTCATGAAGAAACTGTCACATGTTTAACAACATTACAAGAATAATACCACCACTTATAGAAATAAAAAGAACAAAGTATTACAAATATTGTATCAGAAAAAAGAGCATACTTTCGATGTCTCGGAAAGAAAGAGAAAAAAAAAGAAACAGATCGGTCTTCCGCTTCCGGTTTTCAAAGATGTTTTAGGGTGGACACTTCAAATTAGTTTCGCGTGGTTCCTACCTTTTGCCACACTTTTACACGCCTCGACACGCGAACTTGCCTGAGTAATATAAGCAGCAACAACAACAGCAGTAGTAGTAGTAGTAGTAGTATTAATAGTAGTAGTAGTATTAGTAAGACACGATATACATTCAATAAATAACGAGACGCGTACGAGATAATTGGCTAACCTGTCCATAATAATTCCGGCTTCTCTTCTCTTCGCATCTTGCGTTTCTTTTATTTCCATACATTTTCTTTTTTTTTTCATTTATGGGGCACGATCGGTTACCAAAACGAACGAACGAACGATCGTCGTCATGTGGGCCCCGAAAACGCCTCATAAACCGTGTGTGCCCACTATTTTCTCTTGCCGTCGGAGAGGACACAACAAAAGGGAGCTTTCGTGAGTGCCATCCACTCAAATATGTTCTATATATATATATATACATATGTGTGTATGTGTGTGTATATATGTTACACCCATCGGTTCGGTTTCCGGTGAAACGATGGGACAAACAAAAGATGGACACTGGCTCGCGGTCGTTCGACGAATGTTTAACTCCCATCATCATCATTATCATCATTATCCTCATCGTCATTGAGAATTTCTTCTTCCTTCTTCTGCTGCTGCTTCTTCTTCTTCTTCTTTGGTTACCTCATTGAGAAGATTCATCTTTCTTTCTTTCTTTCATTCATTCTTTCCTCTTCCTACAAATTATCAGCAACCACCTGCGTCATACTTTCTACCAAACTTGGTAATTATTCATTTCATTTCTGGTTCTCTTTTGTATTTAAATTTAAAAAAATCCAAGAGAGTGAGGAAGTGAGGGAGAATGAAGAAGAAGTGAAAAAAAAAATAATAGGACAAGATTGATCATTCTAATCTGTGACGCGTTAAAATCGCACAATTGTTCGACATTAAATATCCCTCATATACTCGGATCATTTAACAGTTTAGCAACACTGTTAGCGATACCAGGAATGGTCAAGCAAAGCTATTACGTAAAGTATAAATCGATTTGACCTGCACCTTATAAAGCAACTGCGGTAACATTGTAATAAGCAGATAACTGCAATCCTAATCTGTAATTACATAAATATAGATACATATATATACTATATATATACTATATATATACTATATATATATATACTTATGTAAATAATATATACATAATTATTAAATATATATATATATATATTTCTTGATGTATTACATAATATACGGAGTAGAAAACGTAATACAAAATGTCGACTCTTTGATATGCGTTATTCTCCTACGATTTAACAAACGATTGAAAAAAAAGTACAATTCACGTTAATCGATAAACAACACGCGGTGAGATTTATTATTCGATGATTTTGTAAATGATGTCAGTGAGAAAAAGTTTTTGATAGTAAACCTACCGGTCCTATGATTGATCAAAACGAAATCATTATATTTTCGTGGAATCTAATATAAAAGAGAAAAATAGAGAAAAAGAGTGAGATGAGAGAGCAAAAAAAGGAAAGAAAGCATACAAGCCTAGAGATAGAAGGTTCGTTCTCTATCGAATCTACAATAAATAGAAAAGAGCTGGGCAGGTGTTACCAGATTGGCAGATGTTCTCGGTTACACAACATGCCCGAATCCCGAAAGTTCAACGCTTTTGTGTTTGTTCTTTTCCAGCCTATGCTCGTTCATTGTATTTCTAATCTCATTTTACGTATGTACTCTTTTCTCTCTCTTTCTCCCTTTCTCTTTCTCACTAAAATCTTTTAGAAAAATATCACAGAAAAAAGAAAAATTCACGCTTCTTAAGTAGACGACATGAAAGAAAATATACCGCGTCATAGTACATACATACATCGGTAAATATACAATTGTCATGTGTAAAATTTTGATGAAACATGTAAAAAAGAAATAAAATTTCGTTAATTTTTTTAAAAATCTTGTCCTAGTTCGAATATGATTTTAATGATAAATAATCAGTAAAGTTGGCATGAAAAATGTGTGAACGTGTAAAATAAATAAAATGTAGGTTAATACAATATTTTTGCTCTCATCGGTTTGGCCGCGCACGAATAATTTTGCCTAGCCCCGATCATCATATCCGTTCGTATGTAATACAGTTTCGTAGATCGACGATAATCCAAAGAAAAACGATCGGTCGTCGTCGTCGTCGTAGTAGTAGTCATTATAAAAAATGGTATCGTTTGTGAGAAACGATGGCCACGGGGATATGCTCACTGAATTATGGACTTTGCACTGCGGAATTATAACCGTGGTGATGATGGACCGGTGAGAGAAGGAGGAGGAGGAGTTGAAGGAAGATGGGGAAGAAAAGGAAAGGGAAAAAGGGCAGAGTAGTCAATGTAATGCAGTACGAGTTTCTACCATAATGTCCAAAGATATGTGCCCCTTTTAGCTAACGGCAAAAGATTGAAAGGTAAAAACAGGGAAGTTACGTTGAAAGATCTCTTCCACTATCTTTCTGTTTTTTTTTTTTTTTTTCAATTATTTTACATGCGAATATATACAAACGCATACTCCCACTATATTAGTTTATAATTCGTTAAATCTTAAGAACGAAAGATGAAGTGATTATTATTCTTTGCGTATCAAGAATTGGATTGTACTTGTGGGAACATACACACACACCTGGAAAAGAAATAATGCAAGATAATAATTGCAACAATGTTTCATCTCATTCATTCGAGAAGTTTTAGGAGTCATGATAGAGTTGAGGGGCAAGAACAAAACAAAAAATAGAAGAAGAATATATTCTTTCGTGACTGTTACGGTCGCGTGGCCTTACCGTTTGTTTGCAGTAGCGAATAAGATGGGTTCTTGTCTCTCACGTTAAAGAAAAATGGAGGAGAGAAATAGAAGAAGAGAAAAAGAGAAGAGAAGAGAAGAACGTGTGGAAGGCGGACAATAAGAAAGACCTTTGATCTAAGCACGCACAAGAGAAGCATTCATTCCGTGAAACCACCTACTTTCGTCATTCGTTATTCCGTTCTAACGTTATTCTGAAATGGTCATAGAGACTCGTCGATATCCAATTGAAAGATAAGCTCGTTCGATAGGTCGCAAATACAGCTGAGTCTGCAAATAGTTAACGTCGAGTAAGATTCGAATTTAAGAATGAGTTTATTGTGTTGTTATCCTGTAATATAGACTTACCTTGTGATTCAATTTAATTCTTCTTATTTTTCAACAATGTACTAGGAATTTGTTACGTTATTAAATGAATTATTAATTCTAAGAAATATTCATTACAATATTAAATGATTAATTTATTCTAAAAAATATCAATTATAATATTAAATGATTAATTTATTCTACAAAATATCAATTACATAGAGATTGTTTCTTCAATGTTACAGATACAAACTGGGATAGCGACGAGGTAGCCAGCAAACTGTCTATCGACGAGGAGGAAGAAGGAAAGGCAACGAGTCAAGAATCCGAATCCGGAGTTGAAACAAAAGAAATTGTAAGTTTGTGGAGAGGAGAAAGAAAGAAAGGTGAAACTTTGAAAAACGTAAGCTCAAGCACAGTGGGTGATGTGAGGCTGGAGCTCGCCTCACGTTTGGGGTGATGCCCTCCAGTGAGCCCCATCCCCCCCAATACCACCTTCAACATCACAACATTCCTCCCTCTCATCTTCAGCAACACGCGTCGAACGCAATCGGGCAACGTCAGCTTTATCAACAACTGGTGGCAGCGCATCATCTTCAGCAGCAGCAGCAGCAGCAACAACAACAACAACAGCAGCAGCAACAGCAGCAGCAGCAGCAGCAGCAGCAGCAGAGCGAGCAGCAAGTCCAGCAGAGTCATCGACAGCTTCAACACGGCGGGCCATTTCAAAATTCCTCGTTTGCGCAAGGAAAGCAGGAGATGAGCCCGGAGGAGGAGGGGGGTCGAGGGGGCGGGTCCCCCCCGACGGCAGGGGCTGCCCTTCATCAGCCCCACCACCCCCGCACGGCTAGTCCACCCTCGGGCACAGAACCCTGCACTCGCGACGCAATACCAACACCTACACCCATTGCAGATACAAATACTACAACAACTACTACAACGATAACGATGCAATCGATTCAGTCTCATCAACAACAACACGCACCAAGTCCAAGTCCAAGTCCGACTGGTGGAGACGTTGAGAAGTTTGATGGAAAAATTGTTTACAATCCTGACGGTTCGGCCTACATCATAGAGGGTGAAAGCGAGTTGAGCGAGGACGATTCTTTACCAGACGGCTGTATCGTTGACGGTCGTGGAGTTTCTGTGCCTCACTCATTGGTATTTCCTCAAATCGCTAACGCCTATTATGTATCACGATTGTATGCTCATCAAGCGTATCATCAGCAACAACAACAACAACAGCAACAGAGATCTACGCAGCAGCATAATAATCCAGATCTCCCGGTAATGCACAGCTATCGTGTTATCAGTTATAGGAGTGCAGAAGGTAGTAAGCAACCACCACCACCACCTGCAGCACCCCCTCCCCCAGCTGCTTCTGTTCCCGTGAAGCCCATTTTAATGTGTTTTATTTGTAAGCTTAGCTTTGGCTACGCTAAAAGTTTTGTCGCCCATGCCCAAGGCGAGCATCAAATAGGTTTGATGGAAGACGAAAGGCAGATACTTTCGCACTCGACTGCGTCAGCCATTATTCAGGCGGTTGGTAGGGGGAAACAGCCGCTGGTTAGTTTTCTTGAACCAGTTACGAGCTCGACTTGTACCCAATCATCGCCGACGCAAACGCAAAATCAGCAGCAACAACAACGCAGTGAATCTACTGATCACGAAGCGCCAACGACGACGAGTACGCCTTCAAGTACTCCAGGTATTCCTAGTAGCCCTCAGCAACAACCAACGATCCAGAGGCCATCTTCGAGTACACCGAACACATCAACGTCTCATTCGAATCATCCAATTTACAATCATCAGACACATCAGCAACAACAGTCATGGATCGGTGGTCAAGTGAATCCTGCATCTTGGGCAAAAGCACCCGATGCTGCGGCACTTCATTACACGTCGCCTCCACCACCGACAACTTCTACAAAAGGTTCACCTTCCTCTTATGCGGCTTTGACGCAACAACCACCTAATTTTCTTACTGGCACAACGATAGGTGTTTGTCCGGAACATATGCAAGGTAGACCGAGTGGTGTTGAGTGCTCTAAGTGCGAGTTGATATTAGCTAGCAGTCGATTGGCAGGTCCTGGTGGACCACTTGCAGGTATTCACAGTCGAAATTCTTGTAAAACTTTAAAATGTCCAAAGTGCAATTGGCACTATAAATATCAAGAAACCTTAGAAATTCATATGAAAGAGAAACATCCGGAAACGGAGACCTCGTGTATCTATTGCATCGCAGGTCAACCTCACCCTAGGCTTGCGCGTGGTGAAACTTATACCTGCGGGTATAAGCCGTATAGATGCGAAGTGTGTAATTACTCGACCACGACTAAAGGCAATTTGAGTATACATATGCAGAGTGATAAACATCTCAACAATATGCAAGAACTTCAGCAAGGCGGTGGTGCTGCTTCTGGTACGAATAATCCATCTTCATCTCAAGACGCACCGATGCCAACGCGTAGTCCTCATCATCCTACAAATCCTAGTCCGCATTTAAGTGGTCAAGCTGGGAATCAGGGAAAACCCAAGCCTACGTTTCGTTGCGACGTTTGTAACTACGAGACGAATGTAGCGCGTAATCTCAGGATACACATGACCAGTGAAAAACACACGCACAATATGTTGGTATTACAGCAAAACGTGAAGCACATTCAAACACTCTCGGCACTGACTTCTCATCAACAAGCCCAACATCATCATCAACAGGCACAACAACACCAACAACAATTAGAACAGCTGCTTCATCTTGGTGGTTTAGATAAGCCTCAACATGCAGCAGACGCTTTAGCGGACATGGCATATAATCAGGCACTCCTTATCCAAATGATGACGGGCGGACAACTACCACCACAACTTCCCCCAGAATTAATGGGTGGTTTAACAAATATGGGTGCATTGGGTGGCCTAGCAGGAGACGTTGGTCTTTCCCCAGAGAGTATGGAACCACCACCAGAACCGCCAGATACAGATCCTTCTCATCTTTACCATTGTTGCGTTTGTAATAACTTCGAATCCGATTCGTTGGAATCCTTGAGCCATCATTTAGCTGCCGACAGAACGAGAACTCGTGAAGGGGAGATACTGGCCGTGATGTCTGGACATTTTGTTTGCAAACTCTGTTCCTACAAAACAAATTTAAAAGCAAACTTTCAATTACATTGTAAAACTGACAAGCATCTTCAACGTTTACAACATGTGAATCACGTTAAAGAGGGTGGTCCGCGTAACGAATGGAAATTAAAATATATATCATCGCCTACGAGCTCAGCACAATTGCGTTGTCACGCGTGTGATTATTATACGAACAGTGCACACAAATTAGCAATACACTCTTCTACTCCTAGACACGAAGCATCTACACTGTTACTACGCCATCTTGTAGATGCCAGTGGAAATATACCAACACCGGGGAAACTGTATCACTGTGCTCTTTGCGGTTTTAGCGCTAGGCACAGGCTACCTCTTTTACAACATGTACGCTCGTTTCGACATCTTCAGATGGAGCAACTTCACCAGCTCCATCGTAGAAGTAGCATTCAAGGAAACGAGACACCCCACACGGACATCGGTGACGTATTCCAAGTAGTAAGCGATCCTGAAGTACCACCTACGCAACAATCGAGTCCCACCACGCCGACGACACCTAATATTCCCAATACCAACAACGGTAAGTAATACCACAATCATAAATGAAGATATTATCCTTGGCCTATGCTCCGTTTTAAACTCCTATTCTATTTCTTTGACGTAAGTGCGCTAATGTATATTACATGAGTCTAACCGTTGCGCCGGGTATTTGATTTCTTCCTTAACGTCATTAAATAATTGGAATATCCTATATCTCGTTTCAAAGAATTTCAAAAATAATGGAAATTTTGAAGTAACCCGATCAAAATCAGAAATATTGTTTGTCGAAGGAAAATTAAACACTTTGGTATACGCATCACGCCTTTAATGAATTCAATGCGCTCTTATCGATTATTTCATAATTAGATGAGGATTACGGTAATTTAGTACGGCATATGGTCGTGTCGTGTGCCCGTAATACGCGCAACGTCCAATGTTATTATATGTATCAGTGGCCTGTATTTATAGAAATATACGAGCAGCACGCGTTTCATTGAGTTGCCTTGTAACGTTACAACTGACGCCGACCGATATAAAAATGTGGTTTCGGACAATACATTATGGAGATACGCGCGTATTCTTCTTTTTTTTTCTTCTCTTTTCTATCGATAATTCTATATTATTAATATATTAAAATTGAGAGGTCATTGTTAGGTGAATTTTCGTCAACCATATGCAAAACTTGCTCGTAGTTTTGACGTAACTTCAGACGTAGTTCATAGAAATGTTATTTTTATACTTTTACTTTTATTTGTTCTCGTTTGAAATAAATAATAAAAGATATGTGTGCAAATGTGACCGTCATGTAGTTTGTTCATTGTCGCTGGTAAAGTCACTTTATTTTAATTTTTCTTTTTCTTCTACATCTACTTCTTCTTCTTCTTCCTCTTCGATATGCGTAATCACTTTAATGAGAGTTAGAAAATATGCTTCGCCACAAAAGCAGTCGTACGTGACACTGAATACGAACTTTATTTCGTAGCACCGCCATAGTTTACTATCTATAATTTACTTTCTCTCGTCGCGTACCGAGTTAATGTCTCCGGAAACGAATCACCGTAAAATGGATGGCTGTCCTGTGCGCTCGTTCGATATTAAACGGTTAATGCCGAAGTTCAATTTTCCATGTTGTAAAGTGAAAGAGACATAAGATATATTTACAGGCTGGAAAGTTCAAATTGATGCGTTATCATTTGTCGTGAATTTTACATTTTTTACGTTTTATAATTAATATATATATATAATATAATTGATTGTGCATTAATGATAAATCGGGAAATTATTAATATTCATTTGTTAAATTTTTTCGAATCATTTTCTATTGTTCAGGTATATTGCTATTATTTATTTGTTCATATGTGTATAAAAAAAAGAAAATATTGGAAATTTGGTATGATTTTTCAGAACGACGTGACGAAGGCAGCGACTGTGGTAGCGACGTTAAACAAGAGCCAGAGAATGATAATGAAATAATGGAAGGAGACGCTGAGAATGATCAGGAAGAAATAAGTTGTCCCTATTGCACGTATCAACCGACTTCGCGAGAGGAATTAAAGCAACATTTGCAAGTAGCACACGTTCAAGACTCCGAAGTGAAGCCCGAGGTAGTCAAGGAGGAACCCCCACCTGAATTGTTGTGCCCGTTATGCCAAGACGGTTTCAGGGAACGCGCTGCTTTGGAAAAACACGTAATGCAAATTCACTCGGTAAATGCCGATGGTCTCCAGAGATTGCTACTTTTAGTGGATCAGAGTCATTGGTTGAATAACAATCCGCGAAGTAGCATGACTCCGGCAATGGCAACGCAACCATCTTCACCTACGATAACGAGCAAATTGCATCAAGAAGAGGATACAAATGAACGCGTTGTTGCTACTGGGAACGAAGAAGCCGAGGAAATATCTCGGTGTACAGTGTGCGGTAGAGTTTGTAGATCACTTGAAGAACTAACACAACATCATAGAGAAGTTCATCCGACAAATACTCCAACTTTGGTTAGCGAAAAACACGTATACAAGTACAGATGTGGACAATGCAGTTTGGCTTTCAAGACATTAGAAAAACTTCAACAACATTCTCAATACCATGCCATTAGAGATGCGACCAAATGTGCGCTATGTGCTAGATCATTTAGGTCGGTTCAAGCCTTGCAAAGACACGTTGAAACTGCTCACTCAGATTTACAAGAAGACGAAGTAGCACAATACAAGCAAAGTTTGCTACATGCGCATCCATTGCTTCAAGCTTTGACCGATGAAGCACTTAGAAGGCAGGGCGGCATAAACGCTGATCAGAATACTGAAGATGATGGAGGTAGAGGTGACGAAGAGGAAAGCGATGCAAGCGATTCTCCCCCGATGCACAAGGAACAACGTCTTTTAGAGGATTATTTCAACAGTCAATCTATTGCCGAGGATTCCTATCACGATCCAGGAAGAAAATTCAAATGCCATCGGTGCAAAGTTGCTTATACGAGACAAAGTTATCTTACAGGACACAACAAAACCTTAATGCATCGCAAAGGTGAAAAAATGTCTTATCCTGTGGAAAAATATTTGGATCCTAATAGGCCGTATAAATGTGACGTTTGTAAAGAAAGTTTTACTCAGAAGAATATACTTTTGGTACATTACAATAGCGTTAGCCATCTTCATAAATTAAAAAGAACGATGCAAGAACAAGGTAACAATAATACGCTAATTTCTGTTGTACCACCGGCCAGTCCAACAGAGTCGCCTGATTCTCAACAAGATCAAGATAAAAAACCATTCAAATGTAACATCTGTAAAGTCTCTTACTCTCAAGGAAGTACACTGGATATTCATATGAGAAGCGTTTTGCATCAGACTCGTACAAGTAAGATATCGGATCTTGCTGCAACCGGACAAGTAGATCTTGGTCGTCCGTTAATCGAACATCCATCAAGCCCTAACAGTCCGCCATGTAATGCACCGACTCCTACTAATTCCAACACGATGTTGTCCTGTCCTCGTTGCACCACCCTTTGTGGAAGTCAAGAGCAACTTAACACTCATCAACAATTGTACTGCATCTTTAACAATCCATTGGCTTTATTCCAATTAGCAGCTACGCAACAATTAGCATCATCTGGTTCTGCCAAAACACCACCACCTTCATCGGCAATAGTAGCAGGATCTCATCAACATTTGCAACAAGTCACGCAACAATCGCCACAAACTGCTCATGAACTTCTGACCCAACCTCGACATAAGACTTCACAAATGTACAAACATCTTTTGGAAAGTTTTGGTTTCGATCTCGTGATGCAGTTCAATGAAAATCATCAGAGACGTCAAAGAAAGGAAGAAGAAGCTGCTGCGGCCCTTCAAGCCCAACAGGAACAGCAAAAGCAAGAGCAACAAAAGCAAGCGCTTGCTGCACAAGCTGTACAAGAGAGGGAACAAGAAATCGAAGAAAACATGGACGACGACGTTATCCCCGAATTGACTAGAAGTACTTGCCAACATTGTAACAAAGAATTCAGTAGTGTTTGGGTACTAAAAGCGCATTGCGAAGAAGTTCATCGAGATTTAGTGCCCCGCGAGTTCCTTGAAAAATATGTTCAACAATTCAAATGCGAATACGAAAAAAAGAGCGTCGTGGTAACAGCAGCGACATCGTCTTCTACTACAACAGCTCCGAGAAGTACTACACCAGCAGTGATTCAGCCACAAGACACTAGTTCGGAGAAAGAACCGTGTGAAAAGGACAAGGAAGATAACATAGAGATAAAACAAGAAATAATCAGAACTCCAGAAGCAACATCTACAACTCCAGCAACAACACCTGTGTTGAGCAATACTCCTGTATCGAGTACTGATTCTTCCACGCCAACGGTGGTACCTACTAATACACAGCATCAGATTACTGTTCCACAACCTATACAACAACAACAACAGCAGCAACAACAACAACAGCAGCAACAACAGCAACAGCAGCAGCAACAACAGCAGCAACAACAGCAGCAACAACAGCAGCAACAACAGCAGCAACAACAGCAGCAACAACAACAGCAACAACAACAGCAACATCAGCAGCAATCTGTGCAACAACAACAACAACAACAACAACAACAGCAACAGCAACATGCTCAACTAACTCTGGCTCAACAAATGACTGAAATGCAAGCAGCCTTGAATGCAATGGCAGCATCCCAACTACAGCAACAATTGCAACAATATCCAGGAATTATGATGGGCATGATGGGATTACCCTTGGGATTAAATGTACCAGCTCTGGCAGCTATGAATCTTCAACCACCTTTGGTTCCAATGATGTTACCGCCACCACCGTATGATAGCGCAACCACGGCTTATACTCCTATAAATGCTCAAGCTGATTTGCTTGCGAAACAACATCTCGCCTTGCAACAGCAGCAAGCAGCTGCGGTAAGAAACAAACTCAAGAAACTTGCTCACAAGTTTCCGTATTAAGCATGTAAAATATTTTTTATTTAATTCGAGCATAGCTATTCTTTGCATTAATCTTATGTTCAATGCACGTTCATAAATCGTATTTAAATTTCTGTCAGCAATAGAAGTTTTTAACAAACTCGACAAATTTAGAATAATCTTTTCTGCAATCACAATACATCAGTTTGACTGGACTTGATTTTGTCCATTCCACAGGCAAATGCAGCAGCCTCGCAGAAACGAGCACGCACACGTATAACAGACGAACAACTGAAAATTTTGAGAGCACACTTTGACATTAATAACTCTCCAGGAGAAGAGCAAATTATGGAAATGGCCTCTCAGAGTGGCTTACCACCTAAAGTCATAAAACATTGGTTCCGCAATACTTTATTTAAAGAGAGACAACGTAATAAGGATAGTCCGTATAATTTTAACAACCCACCGAGTACTACATTAAATCTCGAGGAGTATGAAAAGACTGGGGAAGCTAAGGTTACTCCCCTAAATTCGAGTACGTCGGGAAACAGTTCATCGGACGATAAAAGCCCAAACAAACAAGCGACTCCACCACCACCACCAGTGGCAACATCCTGTAATACTTCATCTACTATAAAACAAGAAATGCTCGATACCTCGCAACCTACCGAAACATTACAGCAAATAAGCCAATCGCATCATGAAGAGCAACATCATTCACCTGGTAGTTCCGGAGGCAATCAATCTCGACCACATTCTCCAGCGCTCAGTATGAGCTCAGTATTTTCAGGTATCCACCACGAAGTTTCCTCTCATCCCCCTTCAACAACAACTGCACCAACTGCACCTATGTTACCACCAAAATTAACTCCACAGAATTTTGCTAGCCCTACATCAGGTAGTGGAGGAGTTGTTCAGAGTGCAATCGCAGCAATGGCATTAGCACCGCAAAGATCATTAAGCCCAGGACGTGGACCGACGGATTATTCATTCGGAGCTAACAGCAACGGCAGTAATTCTTCTGGCGGTAGTTCAGGAAAACGTGCAAATCGAACTAGATTCACCGACTATCAGATCAAGGTCCTACAAGAATTCTTCGAGAACAATGCTTATCCCAAAGATGACGATTTGGAATATTTAAGTAAATTACTTGGGCTCAGTCCGCGAGTTATAGTCGTTTGGTTCCAGAATGCTAGACAAAAAGCTCGGAAAGTGTACGAAAATCAACCGGCTGCGGAACCCGTGACACCTGGTGGTCGTGAAGGAGACGATGGAACTGGACGATTTCAACGAACTCCGGGATTGAATTATCAATGTAAGAAATGTTTATTAGTATTTCAAAGATATTACGAACTTATTCGTCATCAGAAGACTCATTGTTTCAAAGAAGAAGATGCTAAACGAAGTGCTCAAGCTCAAGCTGCAGCAGCTCAGGTTGCTGCTGTTTTAAGCTCAGAAGATAGTAACAGCAGTTCAACAACAACTACCAATGCTGTCACCAACAATCCACCCAACACGACGATTTTAACGGAGCAATTGCAGCAACCGTTGAACGCTACTGTTTCTTCCTTACTTCAACCACAAACGTTGTCTACATCTACAAGAAATAATCAAGCGTCACAGCAGGAACAGCAGCAACAACAACAACAACAGCCATTGCAGCAACAACAACAAACCGAATCCAAAGAAGGTAACTTTCAATGTGACAAATGCAATTTGATATTTAGCAGATTTGAACTTTGGAACGAACATCAGTTAGTACATATCATGAACCCGTCCTTATTTCCACCGGCCTATCCACCAGACTCTCCATTTGGAATACTACAACAGCAAGCACTAAATGCTACTTCCGGAGCTGGGACGGATGCTCCTCATCCTTTACTTGCCATGATGCAAGATAGAAAAAGAAAATACGAAGATTTCGATGAGACCTCTGGTACAGATGCACGTTCTAATTCTGAGCACAGCGAACAACCGAAAGACAAACGTTTGAGAACAACGATATTACCGGAACAGTTAGATTACCTTTATCAAAAATATCAAATTGAATCTAACCCATCGAGAAAAATGTTGGAAACGATTGCACGAGAAGTAGGACTGAAGAAGCGTGTCGTACAAGTGTGGTTTCAAAATACGCGAGCCCGTGAGCGCAAAGGCCAGTTTCGTGCTCACAGTCAAGTGATTAATAAACGATGTCCATTCTGCCCGGCGTTATTCAAGGTAAAGTCTGCATTGGAGTCTCATTTGAGTAGTAAACACGCTGATCAAGTTGCTCGTGGAGAGGTAAACATCGACAACATTCCTGACGAAGAATTATCAATGGAATCGGCACCATCGAATCCTAGCACTCCGAATATGATGCCACCACTATTTCCACCATTTAACTCGATGGATATGGAAAATTCACTGAAAAAATACTACGAAGAGTCAATGAAACGATACATCAGCGAGCTTCAAGCTCATGCCAGCAACGGAAAACAAGAGTCGTCTAATCATCAAAGCGGTGTTAACATTGGAGAATCTCCGTTGGATTTGAGCAAACCATCGGTCGATTTGAATCGTTCGGTAAAATTAAGCCTTGGTGGTTTGAGCAATCTCTTGGAAGAGCAACACAGCGGCCACTTTCGAGGTGGCAGCGATTGCGGCCCGTTGACGGATTTATCGGAACGTAGTATTTGCGGCGACGACGATAGTATGAGCGAGACTACAGAATTTTTGGATGACGAGAGTGGACCCGCGAGTCCGGCGTCGAGCACCCAAAGTTCGAGGCAAGGCCCGGCGAGTTGTGTAAACGCCAGTAGCACGGTTAGTCCAGCCGCGAGCGGAAACACGAGTATCTCTGCTGGAACACCCGGACAATCCGGAGGAAAGAGATACAGAACGCAGATGTCGGCGACGCAAGTTAAGGTTATGAAGTCACTATTCTCGGATTACAAGACACCTACGATGGCCGAGTGCGAGATGCTAGGCCGCGAGATCGGTTTACCAAAACGCGTCGTCCAGGTGAGCCCAACACACCCGAACACGTGAATTACCTCGAACTTTCCTGTTATCCTTAACTACAGGATCAAACTTAGGCCTGGCTTACGGACTAATGGAGACGAGTTGCAGGTCTGGTTCCAGAACGCGCGTGCCAAGGAAAAGAAGGCTAGGTTAGCGGCTGGTTTACCTGCCGAGGGCTCAGCCGTTCAACCACATCGCGGTCCTACCGGGCCGGACGAGTGTAGGCTTTGCTCGGTCCGGTATTCACCAAAATCACCTCTTCAGGAACACGTCTTCTCACGACGGCACATTGACTCGGTCCGCGTCGCTGTCGAGGAGGGTAGTTTGGTACCTCCTACGCCAGGTGCTCCGATCACCACCACGCAACCAGTCTGTGCTACGACAACTATTCCAACCTCCTCCCTTATTGTGACTAATCAGCAGCAATCAGTGCAACAACAACAACAACAGCAACAACAACAGACGCAACCACAACATTCTAATCAATCGAGTAGTCAGCAGCAACAACAGCAACAGTCTGACGAAAGCATGATGTATGGATCATTGTTCCTTCATCCTACGGCGATGTTCCAGTCGCAGCAGCAGCAACATCCGGCGGCCGCTGCGACCAGCACAGCTACCACCACAGCCGGTGAGTGTCTGGCTGACCTCTTAGATTCATAAGTGAATTTATTCTATGATAGATTTTTTTTTCTTTTCCTCCCATTTTGTTCATCTTCGATCCCGAACGATATTCGAAATTCAATCGATTTCAATGATACGTACGGTGTGCGCGTGTTGTTAAGCATACAACATTTTGACTGAAATGAAATGCTGTATGGTAAAAGACGAATATTCTATTAAATGTATATCAAATTATTCTCTTCTCAAAATAACAACAATTGTACGATTATCGATCGCATTTCTAATTTCGTTTGTTAATTTTTGTTTCCATTAATATTTTCATTATTCATATTATAAATTATTTTAAGTAGTCTTTTAGCGTGTCTATGTGTAGAAAAACATTAGTTAGTCCCGTGTGATACTCTAAGGGACAATTTACTAATTAATCCTAATTAATAGTTAATATTTTTAATAGTTTAAGAATTATTGTCGGTAAAGATATTTGTAGTAAGAATAATAATAATATATCAGAGAGCTAGGCAATACTGAAAGTTCCTATCAGATGACTATTCTAGCTTAAGAAACGTATGAGAGAAAAGAAATCTAAATGGTTGAAGTATTATTTAAAGTAGAAGCGAGATTGATTACTAGGTAATATTACGAGTCATCCAACTTCAAACATTTTCAAACATTTTATTCAAAGCAAGTAAACATTCTACGTGTTATCACATTTAACGTAGGATGAACAAATTAATTCGTATTTTTAATTCGTATAAAATGATAGACATTATGGTAATTCACTTAATTATATAGCATTGTCATATTGATTGATTTTTATTCATATAGGTTATAAACAGCGGTGCATGACGTTTAGAATTTTTGATTTTGATTCTTATTTTAATTTTAATTATTATTATATTATTATTATTATTATTATTATTATTATTATTATTATTTTTATTATTATTATTATTATTTTTATTATTATAATTATTATTATTATAATTATTATTATTATTAGTATAGCATAACATTACCATTAATATTATATTTTCGACAGTAAATATCTATATTTACGGACAATTAGAAATAATAATATACTTGTATTAAAATATAAAAAGTAATATTATTCGATATTAGATTAGATTTGCAAGAAGGTTTTTTAGTTTAGACAAATTAATATTATTAAAATACTATTATCTAATTCTACTATTATATTAGTGTTATTGAATGCCAGGATACATCTCTTTTTATTACGTTGTAATTAGTTTAATCATATCAATTAATAGTATTAACGCGTTATTTGTAATTCTAAAGTACGCTGTATTTGTTCTCAAATCGACATATTATAATAGTTGCCTCGTCATTGACATTCGTGATTATCCGCGATGAGAAATTTTTATTTTATTTTGACACTGAAAAATACAGTTAAGAAATGAGACGTCTATTTCGTTGTCTCATTTATTTTCTCCACTATTTACTTATTATTATTTTTTTTCCTGCTTATTTCTTATTTGTATGCATTTCTTGTATTAAATTTCTTTTTATTTTTTATTTTTTATTTTTTATTTTTTATTTTCTCAAAATTAATTTTCTCATCTTCTTCTGCATTAACAAGTAAGTTTCGATTTACTTTCTTCTATTTTCATAATCGTGAAACGTCTGTTTCGTTTGTTTTTATTTTTCAGAAAAACGTAATTGTAGTTCTAAAGAATTAGGTCAGTTCAAAAGTAATTGAACTCCTTGAATATCACATTTGAAAGGCCCCAATGTCTGATATCCGGTGAATTATCAGTATTAACTGCCAATTTTGCAATATATTTTATGACGATTTGTCTTAAAATTATTTCGAAATAATTATTATTTATTATCTTGTTAAATAAATATTTTTGTTATTCCACGCAAGATACTAATTCGCATTGTATTATTATACACTTAAGAAGGTGAATGTTGACAAGTTTTAATTCTTGAAAAGTTTAAAATTATGTCAACAAATAATATATTTAATTTTCCTGAACAAATTTTTTCTTTGTTGCTGTTCTACTTATGATAGATGTGATATTCTTATAAAATTATTCTTTTATAAGAGAATAAAAAGTAAAAAGAAAAAATTGAAAGGTTTCAAAATTTAAAATAGCTTCAAAAGTAAAAAATTTTGAGCCTATGCTTTTTTCGAAAAGTTGCACGAACGAATTTGTTGTTAAATAATCAATGAACTTGATGAAACATTATTATTTTATTGTTTTTTTAACGTTATTATTTAATTTATAACAAAAATTACTGTTTTATTTAATATAATTATTTTTTGAAATTAAATTTGGCAAATTAGGATTAGATTAATTTGATAGGATTAAAGGACTCATACAACTTTTTTTTAGTATTAGACGGTGAAAAATGTTGATTATTAATTATAGGAATACTTTTTCATATTTTTTTATTTTTCTTCTTTACTTTTCTGCAGGCATCCTGAAACCCTTGAAGTATCAAAGAAATTTATCACTTCAGTCATAATCAAATATGAACTTTAAACAATTCTTAATTAACCTTTTTATTACTCTTATGTTTATAAAATTAAATAATAAAATATTTCAATTTATAATCCACTTAATCTTACATTTTAACTATTATTGACATATTTAAACTTCTTAAATTGATTACACATATTATTTCAGAAAACTTTGATACTCAAAGGGTTAAACTTGCTTTAGAATTATAAATTTTTTTTTTTAATTTTTTTCTGTCCCTTGTATCTTGGCATTCTTACTTTCTTTTCATGTATTTTTTCATTACTTATTTAATAAGAAACTTGTTGTATATAAAGGATATTATTTCGTATAAAATTCTTTTCTTCTATCTTACTCTTTTTTTTTCTGGCCTACCCACGCGATTTACGTGCAAAAAAAAAAGAAAACTTCTACTTGTATAAAAATGAAAAATATTTTGGTATCGTAGGTAACGTTAAAAGTCTGTTTCTTTTTTTTTCTCTTTTTCTATTAATAAAAAAATTTTCTTCTTTTTATATAAATAAAATTGTTATTATATTAATTATTATAATAACTGTTTTTGTTATTTTGGGTTCTCGCATTGTTCTAATGTATATGTATATATATATCTTCCGAATATATGTAAAACTTTGCGTTTTTTCTCCCAAACATTAATTCTGATGACCAAACTAATTACTGCTTTTAATTATCGGATTAAAAAAATGTATGGTTTAAGTTATCGTATCCCTGTCAATATCTTTTTATGGGGTAATCTAATCTTGGCGTTTGAAAAAATTATCAATGGAAAGATTACTTTTTTTCTGACGCAATTTTAGTGCACATAAATTTTGTTTTATCATTGTTTGATACAGTGATGTCTGAATGCATTGATTTTAATGTATCTATATAAGAATTGTTTTAAAATATTAACAAATGGAGAAGATATCAGTTGTTCTTGTGGTATATACGTTTTCCGTGATACTATCCGACGGTAAAGGTTTTTGTTGATTGTGTAGTCAGGAATTTTTGGAAATAACAAAATGTAGAATATTTTCCTTTAAACAAAACGTTATAGTTACAATTTATTTTTAATCAAAGAGGGAAAAATTTGTCTAAACATTTTTGTGTAAATGATAATTTGTTTTGTTTGTTAAATGTATAGATCATTTTGTTAAAAATTCAAAGTTATAAAAAATAAAAATAAAAATTCTACGAAGTATCTAACCGAAAAAAAAGAAGATAAATAATGTCACATTTCATGTAATAATATATATATAAAAAAAAAATGTTGTAAATTTTCGTTATTATAATTGTTCAGTAATTATCGGAGATACAAGCTTCACCATTTTGAAATATTTTTCAATAACTTTTTATATAAATATGTTATCAATGTACACTGTATTGAATAATTATAAAATAAAATTTTATGTATTTGAAAATGTTTTACGTCAAGATTTATTTCAAACTTGGTAATATATAAATTCATGTAAAGGCAAGGAGTATTTAAAACGTGAAATGAATTTGATACGTCATATAAATGTTATAAAACATTAATTTTTAAAGTAAAAAAAAAATAAAAATAAAATAAAAATATATAATATTTGTATAGACGTAAAAGTAAACAGTTCGAATTTCAATTTATGTATTACCTATGTTCTCAGTTACCTCATGAATTAATTGAATAAACATTAAACGGTAAGATATGCATTAGATATACGTTAGAACCCAAACGATATTTCAAACACATATATTTGACGGTGACCATTAAATGAAGAATTCATATTAATGTGTCCACAACAAGTTTAAACCTTACTTTTAAATCAAGGACTCGAACTTAGGATTTTTCCTTTTTCACAGGCGATTACTCTGTTCACCGAATGGATGTACGTAAAAAATTAATTGAATCGTTCAATTCAAATCACCGGTTATCGATAATCAATAATACCCCATACAATTTCTCAATTCTTTACCACTATTCTACACTTGCGCAATCTTAACGATGATAAAACATGTATTAGATGTACGTGAGTATTCTTAATTCCAAATTCAACTCGAGTATTCGTCCTATCCGATTTCTCAGTCGGGTTCCACAAAATTTATCGTCTAATAAACATATTAAAGTAATTTTTCATTTTCAATTCGAACTCATATTGTTTTGAATATTTAATTGTTAACATTTCATATATAATTCTTATTGTATTATATAATATTATATATACTACTATATGTATATAAATAATTTAATATTTTCAATATATCATATAATAGTATAATATATTATTGTATAATAATACAATAAGAGAGAGTAAAATGTTTTTAAAAATTCAAACTAACATCAACAATTTAAATATCCCAACAAATGTAATTCAAATCGAAAATAAGGATTGCTGTCCGAAAAATCAATTTTCAAGTACTAAATCAAGTCTTGAAATTTGAATATGGATATGTTTATGAATGATTAATTTTTGGTATATCAACTCAAACAGATTTTGGGCAGATTCGAGTGAATTTTGTAATTTCGAATATCCCTAAACACTTATTCTCT